GTGGGAGAACTTGCACAATTGGTGGCTGACTAAATACTTTTTTGCCCCACTGTACATGCATATACATCAATTCTTGACTTGCCATGTGAGCCAGTGCAGACTGTACTTTCATTCTGATATATCTTGTATAATGTTTTCAATATTTAACTAGTTCAACTAACATACTGAACTAAGAATAATGAAGTGATCAAAAGGTCAAATGCTTTTTGTTAATATACTCTAAATGAATAATATAACAGGATGAATGAGTCTCCATTATGAAGTAAATACAGAATATATTTTCATTTGGAGCCTGAATCTGTTTTGAAATTCCCTTTAAAAAAAATTAAGAAGTTAAATAATACATTTCTGACAGAATAAGAAAAAAAGGAAATATTATCTAAAACATCTCAAATTCCATTAGCTATCAGGAGGAAAAGAACCTGAAATAATTTACCAATCAACATGGTGAGCATTAACTTACTGAAACAGTTGAACTTGGAGTGTTGGTTCCATATCCAGATGAAGGGAGGGAGGCCAAGGACCAACGGCGCCCATCTGTCCTAGAGAAAGATACAAGCAGTATTATTTAAAAATGTTATCAGAAATGGATAAATTTAAATAACAGATTTTATCTATTTAAATAGTTCATATGTAGAAGTTAGGGGCTAATGTAATTTATACTACTTAAGTCCCAAATGCCATCAGAGTATAGTTGAAAATCCAATTTGCCACTTGCAAATTGTTGCTGACCCAGAGAATAAACACAGCAGAATGTTGTGACAGATATACAGAATATGCTGAGGGTGTCAACAACCATGTCTTCTAAACAAATATTTTCTAAGGCTTTTGCTGTGTTATCCTTTTTCTTCTAGGTATTGCAAAAGAAAGTCAGATTAACTGAGTCAGGAGCAAGCGTCCCACTCAATCTACTATATTCAGAAACACAATTTACATTTCCAATCCATTTTTCTTTTAAGTTTAGAAAAGAAAACAACATAACATTTAACTTATGTCTTCATGCTTCATGCACAAGTTCACAAATATTTCAGATGTTGTTACAGAATCCATGCTGCAGTTAAAAACCCCAGTTAGGCAATATTAAAAAAAAAAAACAAAAAACACCATTGCTGTTGTTGTGTTTTGTGATTACGTGTTACATCTTACATGCCAAAATGTGCAAACCTGAATAAACCCTCTTTGGCCTGATCAAGCAGGAATCTTCTTGGGCTCTTATGGTCTACAAGGTGTTGTTGTTTTTTAAAATATATGTATTATAAGCTATTTTTCAATATTTTAAAAGACACTGAAAAAGGAGAGATTGATTACATGGAAATCAATTTTGTATAGATGATAATATTTTAAAATATTCAAACATGGTGCAAAATATTAACTGTTCCTTGGCATTATCATGTTTAAAAATCACAGTTCAGAAATTCAGGGCCTTTCCAAAATAAATGTCATCCAGAGAAATATATAAAGCAAACAAATGAATGTTTCTCCTGTAGCTTTCAGATGGACAAGCTACTTCTGTTTAATGGACCAACTTATCACCTAGCCAATACGCATAACAAAAAGAAGTGGTGTACCGTATTTTTCCATCTATAAGATGACCCCATGTATAGGATGACCCCCACTTTTCCAATCCAAAATTAAGAAATCAATATTTTAAAGATAAAGGAGAACACATTTTTATTTAGTAATTAGGTA